TAAGTTTAGCGACAATCACCGCATTACGTGAGGACCACCAACTGAGCAGACTGAAGAAGCCCAATGAGCCCACCTATTTCGGAAGAAACCAAGAACTAAGATACCCATCAAAAAAGAATCTGGTTGCCAGATTGCCGATCACGGTATTCAGACCTGTGTCTAACAGGAGAGTTGTCGTATTCTCTGAAGCACACTGTATCGAGTACTGGGGAAACGTGAATCATTCGACTGCCTGAACCCCAAAGTTCAATCGGTTGTAGGTTACATGAATCCGTCTGTTGCTTTATGAGTTGGACGATTCTGCTCAAGAAGCTCCGGGCGAGGTTCCAAATCAACCTCCTATTCTCGTTCTTCGACTAGCTACTACAACAGCTCACCTCACTAACGACTTCACGCAAACTCGCACGACCAACTCCACTTAATTCATCTGATTCATCTATGTAGTGTTGCTAGCCCCGTATGTTTCATACCTGTGGATAACCATCACATGCTGGCATTATCGAGGTAGTATCATAATGCAAGCCAATTCCGTGCACTAGTGAACCCGATAACTTGTAACAACAGTATGCAGGGAAGCAGAACAACCGTTAATTTCATGAGAAATTACACACACACACACACACACACACACACACAAGTGATCAAACCCACGACTCGCAACAAGTATAGTCAAGTCTACTAACGTTCACTTCAGCTTGCCACCCATCAACGACTGTCGTTGAAGTGACCCTAGTAGTTCAAATCTTATCAGAACACGAAATTGCCCGGTCCTAGCACGATCACAGCATGCCGATAGTCCAGTGAACCGAGCAACAGTCAGACATCCGATTCCTTTGAAATGACGTGGATCAAATAATATCTCGATACGATTAGATGATGAATTCATAGTGCAAATGAAGCGTGAGCCGAAAAGCTAGGAAGCACTAAACAACTGTCTCCATTTGGTTGGGTCTCATCAGTGCAGTGCGAATCCTTCGACCCAACTGAGGATCGAACCCCGAAACTCACTGTATGATACGCAATCGCCATTACATAACAAACGATATTGGAAATGGATTCTAATGTGTATGCTGTGTGACCCCGGCAGACAGTAGGAAAATGTGAACACAGTACGACAATCTGTACCCGGCTTTTACCAGCTGCAGTCTAACAAGTTAAGTAACGTGCTGCTTGCGCTCGCTACTGATCGTTCATTGGGTGATTAGTGGATAACATGATAAAATCAGCACACACAAACAAACAGAAGAGTACAAATAATCCAAAAACTGACCTATTTAAGGAAAAGGCTCCATTAATCGTGGATCTATAACACGAATGGAAA